GAAGTTTAAGTAGTATTTTCTTTTTCAAACCTAATTTTTTAACATATCTATCTTTCACACAGAATCAGTATCAGTTGCAGAGCTTCCCATCTCAGATGAAATTCCAGTTTTTTAGGTATGGTAGTTGGCACTGTAGTCAGAAGCCTGTAAACAATGAGTTTAAACCTAGACAGTACTTCAAAGAGCCTGATAAAAAAGGAATACTTGGAGTCATTAATCTTCAAAAGTCTCATTAATTAAGAAGAAAATCAAAGTAAAAGTGACATTTCTTAAAGTTTCATTTCAAGTGCTGATTCCAGCATTATCATGCATAAGCTTGAAATGCAATATTTATCACCAGTCTTAACTGGGAAAGACACATAAAAACATTTGGTTTCAGAACAGTGGCAAGACTCATAAAAAGATGCTCAAAGAGAAAGACTGCAACAGAAGATTACTTAATTTCCACTAGAGCCACAATATAAAAAAAGGTAGCAAACAAGATGAAATTCTATTCAGTATTTACACTAGAAAACAAGAGGTATAGCTGCTGTAACTCTAAACAAACAAAAAAAAAAAAAGACAAAACCTCTAAAAATGAGAATGTAGGGCAGAATACAATGTGACCATTAAGAATGAAGTCTACATACTGCAAAAATAACTCTAGTATAGTACAGCAGCGAAATAGCAAAATTGTGTGGGTCACTTTAAAATTGGCTTTTTCAGTCAGAGGACAAGAGGTAATCTGGTCAAAGTGAAAGTCTAAGGAACAATCTGTAAATCACTCCTGCCTTTGTGATCAAGTAGCGCTGCTCCTTCAGATGTGCTGGAGATGGGCTGTAGTGAGAAGTGAACTAAAGTATTCCTAAATAACCTTTCTTTTAAAAACTTCTATTTTAATTTTTTACTCGGGATACAGTCAGTTATCAAGATCCCGACATTGACTCCTGGACAGGCCACATTAAAAGAGTAAGACCCTAAGGCATAATGCTGAGAGGGATCTTTTAGCAGGTAATGCTGCTAAAACCCTGGTATCCTGAGACCATTTCTTTACAGAAGCTCTTCTGAGCAGAACATACCAAAGTTTTCAGCTAGTCTATCACTGAATTTGGAAAGAAGCCTCCCCAGTCCACTGCCATCCCAACAGCAGGTCTGGGTCAAGCATCTCCTTAATCTCCTCACCTAATTGCCACCTCAGTCCTTATCACACCACCACTGTGCCAGCACAAGAATAAATAAGGCTGCATGGAGAACCAACCCGGAGAGAAGTAACCCAGAAAAGAGAAACAAAATAAATAAACAATAAAAGCAGCAGAGAAGATGATTACAGCTGGATCAGAGGTTTAACTCATTCTTAGCGAGGACAACATATTGGGAACACAGGAGCAGTAATACCTCAAGCCTGTGACTGCAATTGAGAACTTCCCCAAGAGAAAGCAATGCATTGGTTTTGGCATTAAGTATATTTTAAAATCAACTGTACAAAGATGCTTCATGGAATACACATGCAGATATTTACTGCTGGATGTTGAGTTCAATCAGACAACACTGGTTAATACCCAAGGTAGCAGTGACTTGTCCCTTTGTTCCTTATCTTTCTCAGGCCTATTTCTGAGGGATATAAAAACACCACCACTAAATCTAAACTAAATCTACACAGTGATAAAACTCTATTGAGCTGCACTTCTTTGGTCTTACTTAACATAACCTTGAGAAGTCTGAACTGATACAAACTCATCTATTCATATCAAACAGAGCAGGTGATGTCAGCAGTGGAGTTCCTCTTCCTCTGCAGAGACATTATCTTTACTCAAGAGAACAAAGGCAAACACTTTCTGTGGAACTTTTTTCCCCTAAGATTTTCAAATACTTTTATAAACCCCAACTCTTAGTATTGTAAGATTTTTCCTAGATTTATTTCAGCTTCTGCAAGTGGCAAGTCTAACTCTTCTATCTCCTCTTAATAACCACACTTCAAGAGACTCAGATCTATTTAAGAAAGACTGTTTGCATGCCTTCTTTTTTTATGTCCAGCAGCACAAAACAGGGAATCCAGTGCTGCTCCCTGACTTAAGTTTACTTCAGTCAAATTACTTTTCTCCTGGGTTATTTTGAAACATGGGAAAGCTCCAGTTATTCCTAGAGAATCACAGAATAATAGAGTGGGCTGTAAGGTACCTTCCAGATCTCCCCCCAAGCCCCTTGCCATGGGTTGGGACACCTTCCCAGGTTGCTCAAGGCCTTATCCTGCCTGACCTTGAACACTTCCAGGGAGCGCTCATCCACAGCTCCTCTGGGCAACATGGCCCAGTGCCTCACCACTCCCACAGTAAAGAATTTTGTCCTAATGTCCAATCTAAACTGCACTCTTTCAATTGAAAGTCATTCCCCCTTGTCCTGTCAACACATGTCCTTGTACAAAGCTCCTCTCCAGCTCTTCTAAGCCCTCTTCAAGTACTGAAAGGCTGCTGTAATGTCTCACAGGAGCCTTCTCTTGTCCAGACTGAACAACTCCATTTCCTTTGCTTTTACAGTCATGTTTTAGCACCTAGTTTGTGTGCTGGTTCATCTTCTTCCTGGTTGCAGCATTTGGCAACAATTTAAGTACTGAGGTAGTTCTGTTAAGCTCAAGAACTTCAGATGTGAGAAAATCAGCATTTTGCATACGCTTACTCTTGGAATTATTGCAGTTTTTGTTTGGCAGCTTTTATTAGCATCATCTTCTCTGGCAAGGAGGGAAGAGGAGGCTTGACTTGAGCAGCATTTTTTATTCTAGTGTCACTCTGTACAGGGGGATAAGATTACAGATATAAAGTAAGATATTTCTTACATTATGCAATTTTATACTGCCTCAGAAAATCCTCTATAATCCTTATATTCACACCAAACCTCAGTAAGTCTGTTCTATGAAAGTGCTGCAGTTTTAGATGGGTTGCTCACAAGTTACACTTGAAGGATTAGTAGATTGAGATGACCTTGCCTTCACACCTGAGAAGCACACAGTATGTATATAGTAGTAAAAGAAAGTTTTTATTTTAGTTTAGACAAATGTTTATGAATACATCTCCATCACAGATTTTAAGAGACAAAATCTCTTATCAGTATATATATAGCTTAGTGAGAAATTTTTAAGCATCACATGAGGTAAGATGCTATTATCCCCATCATGTTCTCAGAATATTTAACATCCCACAGCTGATCTGTCAGACTGAATAACTCCAGATCACCTGAAAAACTCGTCAAATACACTCATCCTAGACATCCTCAGTGCTCAAGCTCAGTCAATCTAAGGAGGAGTGGGGAAAAAGAAAAGACATATGCCTGGTATTTTCCAGTTCCACTGACCTATGCACACATCTTCAGTTTTATACTACCTTTGAGAACACATCTGCAGTTTCAAAAGTACCATCGATTCTTAAAGAATAGCAGCACACATCACCTGTGAGAAAAATAAAATGGAGTACCAAAGTTTTTAAAACTAGATATTCAAAGTTAACACCCTCTGCCAGAAAGACACAAGTCAGACTGGCACTGCTAAGAATCCCAGGCCCAGAGCAGAGTTTACATGCGACCACAGAGCAGGCAATACACAGTTCACTGTGTTCTTCAAGCCCAGACAGAATCCCCAGCCCTCTCCTGAAGCACAGGCAACTCTTACATCTAGATTAATGAAGTCCCTCCATCCGTGAAAGGGGAGAAAGCACAGAGGCTTCAAGCCAGCTAAGCTGTAAAGCCAAGATCTCTGAGGGCACTGAATAATGCAAGAGAACAGGGGTCAATACTTTTTCTTCCTTTAACACTGAGCCTGTGAAGATGCCTTGTCACCAAAAGACAATCCAGCAAATCTTCAAAACAGAACCTGCATAATCTTTCTGTAGAAGAAGATTAGTCACATCCCAAGTTTATCTCAAACATTGAGGAATTTGTTGTTTCCTCTAGATTTCATATTCAATAAGTTCTTTAAAACACTTTAAAAACCCACCAAAACAAACAAAAAAACTCAAAAAAAAGCCATCAAACAAAAAACTAGACATTTTTCTGTGGAACTTTCAAAACAATTACTGAAAATCGAATAGTAACTCAATAAACATAAACCATACTTAGCTACTTTTCCTCTCAACCCATTCAACAGAAGCATGTGATCACCACCTCTGAGATCCAAATTTAGGGCTTTCTATGCATTTCAAATGCCCGTGAAAAGCTAAGGAATTTAACATCAAAAGACAGAAATTCCCATTGACTGAAGTGTAAGGAGAAACAATGCCAACAAACCCCAAAAATCCTCAAAGTATAGTTCAAAGGTTAGGGTGCTACCTTAAGAGATAGACCTGGATTTCAGAAGTGAAGGAGAGCAGGAAGGGGTGTACACCTCGGAAAGCAAAATAAACTCATTTTGCTCAGGTAGGCAGTGATCCACAGTATTGACACAGCTGTACTTATCTGCTGTCCCACAGCCACAAGAGCTAAACACTCGGTTACTGCAGTGCTATGCTCCTAAACCTCGAATCCTCAGTCGCTGCTCCTGCTTATGGCTCTCCCCATAAGTGACGGCAGGAAGGATAACCACGAAAACAACGGCATTCCGAATTTCTGCATTTTAACCGTAGGCGGAATTTGCGCTGCGCAATTACCTGTATCCTTAACCACAACAGCGAGAGCCGGCGTTTCCCCCACCCCTCCAGCCCGCAGTGTTTGACACTGTTTTACCTCTCGTGGCTTCGCTTGCAACACAGTCCAACTCCTTCCCCTGCAACCCAACACCCATGCAAGGAGCGTGAGGTGGAACTGCCACAAGTCCAGCGGGAGGGGAAGGAAAAGCGCAAGGAGCGTGAGGTGGCACTGCCACAAATTCAGAAGGAAGGGAAAGAAGAGCGCAAACGAGGGAGGGCAGCGCTTCCCGCCGGCGGTCACAGAGCGGAGAGGCGCCGGTGCGGAGCAGCCCCGCGCTGAGGCTCCACACCGGGACACCGGGGCACCGGCGCCGGGCCCGCGCAGCCCCACGGAGGGCACCTGGCACACACCTGTATGGCGGGGAAGGCGCCTTTCAGCAGGTAGAACATCCTGCGGTTGGAGAGGAGGTCGCCGGTGGTCAGCTGCTCCTCGGCCCCCTCCCGCGTCTTGCCCTTGGCCTTGGCGTTGAGGACGTTCCCCTCGCGGACCCGCTTCACCTCCTCGCCGCCCCTGACGGCGGCCAGCACGGACACGGCCAGCAGCTCCCGCAGGTCAACGGCGCCGCCGGGCGCAGAGCCGTGAGGCGTCTCGGGCCCGCCGGCCGCCGGCTCGCTCAGCATGAAGAAAGCGAAGCGGCCGGCCAGGAAGCCGGAGTAGAGGTGGTAGAGGACGCCCAGCCCCAGCAGGCAGAACACGGCCATGCCGAGCGGCGAGAGGCGGATGCCCATGGGGGCCATGGCCTCGGGGCTGGCGGGTGGCGGGGCCGGGCGGTCACCACAATGCCATGGCACGGCCGGGGCACTCCGCTCCCGCTGCTGCGGCGGCGCCGGGCCGGCTCCACGCTCGCGGCCGGGAGGCAGCGCCGTCTGTATCCGGGTCAGGCGGAGGCGGGGCCGGCTGTGCGCGCCGGGCACGTCGCGCTGCCCGCGGCTCTGGCTCTGCGCCGTCCCGGCTGCCGGGCTCAGCCTTAGCAGTGCCCGCTGTCCAGCGCTCGCTGCTTCTCCCGAGCTCTGTGGTTTCGCGTGATCTTCTCCTCGTCTCCCTCTAGGCAGCTGATGCGCCAGGAGCCCGCAGCGCCGGGGCCGAGGGAGCTGCTCTGCCCGCGGGGCAGGAGCTGGAGCCCAAGCCGGAGCCGAAGCCCGCCCGGCACCCTGGGAAGGAGTTTTCTGATGGAAATCACTATTGGTGTAAATTTCCGCTAAATTTGTGAAGATGCACTGTTAGCGGTGCCGAGCATTATTGCTGAGCAACTCTTGTTTTTGTCATACTGGTTTGGGGAGGTTAGGACTCTCTGCCTCCCCTGTTCCTCGAAGAATTATTCTCATTCAGTAAAATGAAGCAAATCCAACTGTTTCCTCAGCCAAGTGATGTGATAAAGAATTACCTGTCTTAATTTACACTTTTTGTTTGCACCTCTGTTGTTTTGGGGGAGTGTGAAACTTCATAGCCAGGACGGACATCTAGGGTGGGAACTAGGAAGAGTCTCTGATTTCTTTCTGTTCTTATTTCTGATTCCTTTTAGTAGTTTTTCAGTAAATTACAAACAAAAGAACTATGTTAATTCAGCATTGTTTGAATTAATTGCATATTTTCTACTGGAGCAATGTTCTTGTCTGTTGATAAACAGGTTGTAGAAACAAATCCTGGTAGTGACTATGGGAAGAAGTAATCACTAGGGATCATGCATTATAACTGTTTTCTTGGGCACTTTATTTTTTTTAAATGTTAAACTTACATAATCAAGAAAGTGAAAACTATAAAGACCAAAATTAAGACCAGCCTTGCAAACTGAAGCTGCCATATAGTCTCCTCTGCATTTCCATTTTAATGGCATCTACATTTACATGGTTACATATCCAGTATCCTGCAGGATTGCACCCTCTCTGAAGTGCAAGTGTATGTGCAGGGAGTGAAAGTTAAAGGATCATAGAATGAGAAAGTATTTCATTTGAATTCAGGAGTTGGGATTCAGGAGTTGAATTTTACTCCAACTATGCTGAGGTTAAACTTTACATGCTATTAGGCAAAAACTAGAATGTCCATGTTTTCCAGCTTCCCATTCCTTTAAAGATGGAAATTTTTGGTCTTGTTGCCCTTTTTTTTCTTTCTCTGCAATTACTTCTCTGGCAGAATGGGAACTTGAGAGGATACACTGCTCATTTTCCTTAATATTGATTTCACAGTTCAATATTTCAGATAATAATGCCAAGAAGCTATGCAGCAACACAGGGTTCATCTTAGACAGAGTAGACTTGTGTCAGTAATGAGCAAAATAGCCAGCAGCAGTGCTGCCTGATGCTATTAGTAACAGTTTGTGTGTGTTCAGTAAACAGGAACTTTAAACTCCACCATGGTGGAAGTAACCCAAAAGAAGGAAGAAAAGCTGCAACTTTATGAACTGGTTTCTTAATGGAAAGAAAGTGAAATACTAGGCTTTTTGTCCCACTGAAGTTTGCAAAGACCTTACAGAGGTGTAGAAAATTATTGGATTTATTACTTGGTACTTATATTTTTTATGCCTGCAGTAAACATAGAAAATATTAACAGTAATGTAAGCAGTGAAGAGGATGGTACACAGAGGGCTCTTTATTTCTATGCCACTGTATGTACCATCTGTGCCAGGTTTTAGAAGAGACTGTTCATTACTGAATGCAATCACACAGCCAATAGACAATATGCTGTCAGCCTGTTTCTCTGTGGCAATCTTATTCTGTAATTACTAATATCATTTTTAAAGGTTGCAATCTGGCATCTTCCATGTTGTTTTCCCAAGAACTCTAATTCAGTTCCTCATGTTTATCCAGGGTGCTATTGACTTCACCTGGGCCAGAACACCACAGAGATCTTTGCAAAGTGCCCTTGGCAGATGGTATAAAGATAGTTTAGACAAGGTTTCTTTATTGTTTCAACCTGTAAGATGAGTTTCCAGAGACAATGCTGTAGGCATAAATTGAAATCAGCTTGTGAGAAAAAAAAAAATGTATTCATTATTAGCAAAAGCAGATTTATCCTTTACATTAGAGCTAAGGACAAATTCTAATGGAAATGTTCCTTTTGAAAATGAGGAGCATGCCAGAGCACAGGGAGCTTGGTGTCTCTGACTTGTAGAGCCCGTGGCAAGAATGTGTAAACTAGTGAGCTCCCATCCTTGTCCAGGCTAGCAGTGTTTTGTCAGCAGTGCTTTACAGTGCAGCATATTGTCATGGTTGCTTTGCCAGCATCGTTGCTGACTCGTGGAAAAGCAATGCCCACATCTTCCACAGCAGCAGCCATGGTTAACAGGGTCTGTCAGCAGCTACAGAAGTGCTGTGCAGCAGCAGGTTGTTACTTCTCTGTGACTCTGGCAGTTTAGGAAGCCATTCATGGGCAGCCTTCCTGAGTGCTCAGTTTTTGTGTCTGCAGTTGCAGTTTGTCTGTAGAAAAGATGGGGAGTCCCTCAGGCTCAGAGTTGAGTTTGGGCTGCAGCACATGAAAAAGATCTGCTATGTCTGTGCTTCTGAAAGGCTGAGAGAGAGCAGATGGCTGTACCAAAGCACCTGAGGGGAACCTGCTGTGCAAATGCCAGCACCAGCTGCAGCCACTACATTTCCCAGTCAGTTCTGTGGCAGAGTCCCATACAAGGTCTTTCATAGTGAGGGATAGTTTTCCTTTGCATAGAGCATTTGGTTGGAGCAGTGTGTGTGTATAGGCAGCTATGAATAGTTGTCGTTTGGTTTACACAATCAGCTTCTTCCTTATTTCTCTCTCTTTTCTCATACTTTCTGTTCTTTTCTGGTTATTTTGTTTGTGATGCCACCTCATCCAATCCTGTTTGCAGCAGCAGTGGCAGTTATGGATAGCTCTTTCTTATTATCCTGTCTGACCATGCAGGGCTGAGAGCCTTGGGAGCGTTGTGCAAAGACATACCAAGCCTAAGGGTATTATTAAAGGCTTTATTTAAACTAGTATGTAAAATAAAAGCAGAATATTACAAAATGTATGCCGCATGAAGGTGGACCAAACAAGGCAAAAAAAGGTGGATTAATATCTCTATTTTAAAGTGCATCCCAATGAAGAGTTTCTAGGTATCTATAGTCCAGCTTTTCTCAAAGATTTCCTCTCCATAGTGCTCCTTTGTCATGGATGCTTCCTTTTCCTTTGTGGAGAAAGGATGGCTCCATATACACCTGAAGGCTGGGCTGCCATTCAGCGGAATCTTGATTGGCTGGAAAGTTGGACAGAGAGAAATTAGTGAAATTCAACAAGGGCATGTGTATTCCAGAGGAGGAATAACCCCAGGACAGACTGGGGCTGACCTACTGGAGAGCAGCTCTGCAGAGAACTGGGAGTCTTAGAAGATGGCAAGCTGACCATGAGCCAGCAATGCCCTTGCAGCTAGGAGGACAAATAATATCCTAGGATCCTCCCCCTCTACTGGGTCCTAGTGAAGCCACACCTGGAGTATTGTGTTCAGTTCTGGTCTCCAAAGTTCAGGAAAGAAAGGAGCCACTGGAGAGGGTACATAGGAGGTCCACAGAGATAGATTACTGGTTTGGAGCATCTCTCAGATGAGGAGAGACTTCAGGAGCTGAGCCTGTTTAGTCTAGAAAGGAGAAGACTGAGAAAAGATCTCATTAACTCATAAATATCCCAGATGTGGGTAACAAGAGGATGGTGCCAGACTCTTCACTGTGCCCAGTTACAGGACATGGAACAATGGCCATAAATTTAAACACACAAAATTACACCTGGACTTTTTTACACTGGGAGTGGCAGAGCACTGGAACAGGCTCCTCAGGGAGGTTGTGGAATCTCCCTTTCTGGAGACATTCACTTGGACTTGTGCCTGTCTTACCTGCTCTAGGTGACTGCCTTGGCAGAGAGGATTGGAATAGATGTTCGCCAGAGGTCCTTTCCAACCCTAACAAACGTGTAATTCTGTAAAATATAAATATAAGAAGGGGCTATAATCTGCAATCCAGGTAGGAATGACATCTGTATTCCTCACTAGGACAGGATCCAGGTCCTGGAGCTTGCAGCAGGTCACACTACCAGAACTAGAGCTGTCACGGGCACACATGGCCCCCTGGTATGAGCTGTGCACAGCCTATTTCCTGGATTGCTCCAGGTCAGCTTAGCATGGACACTGAGGTGTCCTGCCAACAGTGATGCAGCAAAGCTCCTCTAATTGTCAGCAGAGATTGCTTTGCCCTCCTGCTTACTTGCTCTCACGAGTTTCTCAGTGCACTAAGCCGTTTCCAGGGAATGCTGCTTACAGCAAGTCTGGCTCTGTGCCAGGCTTGGTTCTGGCTTCGTGGCAATGCCAAGATTATAGAATGCAATACCTGTGATTCAGGAGAAGGCCTAAGGGAAAACGGAAGAGCCTGATCCAGGAGAGGGCATCCAGGGTGAAAGCAGATGCAAAGTGTGATGAAGAGAGCTGACAATGGTGAGACTCTGGAAAGGAGTGTGGTCCGAGCCTGGATTTGTAGAAGAGCAGCTGCAGCCAGTGTTGTGAACTCAGGAGTCAAGGTGTGGGAACAGAACCTAAAAGGACCTGTAGGGTGGTCTGGGGAATTTTGATACAGGCACTTTCTGCTTGATCTGATAGAAAAGTGGTTAGCCAAAATGTTTGGAACATATTTTAATGAACTCAGGGTTTACAAATCAGATCAGCACTTAGCTAACTTCAGATTTTTAAGTGTGCTTCTTCAAGACCTTATTCCATCTTATGAGTACAGGCAAACGTAGTTTAGGAAAATGTGAAAGTGGAATTTAGCCTTTTTTTTTGAGTCATAGATTTGTTAATAGGCCAGTTGGGTACAAAGCTTAACAGTTATTCTGAAAAAAAAATATCTCC